ATTACATAAGTAAGAGGCAAAATAATATTCACATTTAAGTAATACTAGAAACAGGTGAGACACGAAGCTAGAACCGCGGGCTGTCTAAAAAAGCTAAAGGCAGAAAGAAGGGGGTTTCATGCGGCGGCGGCGACGGCACAAAATAAAGAATACTCTTTTCGTTTTACGGCCATTTATTATTAATTAGCGCGGTATAAGGCAAGCCGCGCCACGGGGATCCGCACCTCTTCTGCCGGGTTACGGTGGAGTTAATGGGCCTTTTTTGCGCGTGTCCTCTCCGCCGTGCCCACCCCTTATTCCGTCTCCCTTGCCGCCTGGGTCCCGTCTCCCTTTCGCTACGTCGTTGGTCCCTTTTACGCCGGCGCATGGCGGTCGTTGCGAAAGCACCCTCGCCTCCGCAAAGCGGAGCCGAAGTGCAGCCGTTCGCGGCGGTTAAAGAGCGCGAGAGAGAACATGAATCTTTGCACCTGGGCGTGGATCGGTTGGTCGGTCGGTCGGTCGGTCGGTCGTCCGCGACATTATTGCCCGTTCTTTCCTTCGTCGCCGTGTGGCCGTGCGCGCGCGTAGGTGTTCCGAGATACGATAATGCTCGATCATCTCGCGCACGCAGCCTCCAGCCGTGGTCGAACGCGCTCAGCTTTACACGCTACTCGATTCGCACGCGCGCGCACGAACACCTGCGACGAACATCTCGACGTGCACGTACGCAGTTGCGCGATGGGAAATCACAATCAAGAATGATGCACCGACTGAAATTGATATTTTACGCGATATGAAGTTATGACGTAGCACACTATCTATAAATTGAATAAGCTGATCGTATTTTGAAAAATATTTTCGAGGGTAAAATAAAGTTCCTTTTTATTAATTTCTTTTATTATAGAAATTAAACTGGTGAAATAATGAGAGAAATAAAGAAAACTATTTTAATATACTGTCATAAAGATAACGATATATATTTTTTGGCAAATAGACAGATTTGCATCGCGAAGTTAACGATCGTAAATTCACCAACGATCTCGGAATTTTCACACTTGAAAAACGATACTTAGCGCCCTATAATTGCGCAGTTGCGCAATAAGAAGTCTCGGTCCCGCCGTGAGAAAACGAGGTCTCCGCCGGGAACGGGCGGACACTTTGTGCCGGTGCATGCTGCGGTCCGTTTGCTCCTAGTCGTATAACTCGTTCGGCGAGAGGAGAGGAGGATAAGAAGGACGACGGAGGAAGGAGGAGAGTACGGTTTCGATGGCCGGCGAACGAGCGAAAATGCGCCGGCTGCAGCATTCGCCGTCGAACGCGGCGGGAGAGGCAAATGGGTTTCGTCGTGTCCCAGGGCGACACGGCCGCGATTAATGACGAAGTGCGAAAGCACCCAGTCGGGCTGGGTATTAACGGAGGCGGAATGACAGAAAACGGAACGCGGCGCGAGATTGGGCGAGGGGGAATGGCGCGCGGTGAAGAACGGCGAAGAACAAGAGCGGAGGGAGAAAGACGGAGGAGCAGTGAATTAGATTCAATAAATAGATCGTCCGACGAGATAAATGTCCTAATAACTGGGCTTAGGCTTTGCATACCCGGGTACGCGGGCATATACGAGGCGATCATTAGCCTGCGATCCGGGAGTGTGTAAATTCGAGAGCGCGGCCGTCGCGGTTCAATTCACTCGCTCGTGTTCGCACGACGCATAAACACCTGTCACGAGTGCCGATCGACGCGCGCGCGCACACACGCGGAGTGTAACGCGTTGTGTAACGACACGCCGACCCACCGTGAGACCGTCGTGGACGCGTTTCACGCTCGCCTTCGCCTGCTATTGTGGCTTCTTTCTCGCGTCGGCAGCTCTCGATCCGACCGCCGCGCCGACGACACGCTGCGGTCCATTAATCTCTCATCGATAGCGACGGCACTGACACTGATCGTACCTACGAGCTATTCAACGCCTCCTCGCAGCACGTGTATCGATATTCAGCGGGTTATCGTAACGTCCGGACCAATTATCTCGAATAAATGCGCCGATTCTTTCGGAGTGCGAAGAAATTGATAAGAGTATCGAGCGTTTGAAGCGCATTCCAAGTATATCTTTGCAATTTTGTCGCGGAAATTGTACGTTACTCAAATACAAAGGGATTTCCTTAAGAAAACAAATAATCGCTATTGCGAATAACGAGATGCATGTGTACACTTAAAATATATGCCAACAGCGACATGAACGGCATTCAGTTCGTTATTTTGAATGAATAGCTAAGAATGAGTAAACCAATAGTTTCAACATTCATTAACGCAAATTTGAGAACGATTGGCGAAATCGTTATAGCGGCCAATTCTTCCGCAGCTTGCGGCAACGATAATAGGTCCGTTTCGCTCGATAATTGCGAACGAGTATTTCGAGAGCCATCAACGAGCGACTCTCACGCAGTGAAAACACTTTCGAGCGACGAGCGAATACCGGGGCGATAACTCTGTCTACCTTTCTGCGTGAGCAGCAGCGGGAACAGCGACGTGATACACTAAGCGTCGTTATTTACGGCGTGTTCGTCTAATTAGATAATGGCGCCGATATTTTATATTCGTGCATTCACCTGCGCTTGCAACACCACTGACTGGCTGGCAACCGGCGACCTTCGCCGCCACGCCGCAAATCGTTACGACCGTAACGCGCCGCTCTCGGTAAATCGACTCGGATGAGTGCGGCGGCGAGAATGCGTGTTAATAACACGTGCACGCGCGTAATCAAGTTAGAGAATCGCGAGAAATTAGAGCCGGGGTGTGTGTTCGCCGGTGTCGGAGCGACGTTAGCTGTCCAGACCGATCGCTGTACTTTAAACGTGCACGTGTGGATATATGCTACAATCGGAATATTAAATGATCGATTAATCATAATAGAGACGGAAAAAAAAACATGTCCCGTCCTTGACGCGTTGAATATCGCTTTGTGTTTTATGTGACGTCGCACGCGTCGTTAATTCCTTGCGAAATTGAATACCTGGCGGGCAGGCCGGGTCTTGACGAGTTGCGCAATCGAGGAATAACGATCGTTCGGAGATTTACTGCGAGGAAAAATCTCCCCAGGCCACGGCGAGCGGAGAATTATCTATCATTCGGGTTAAATGTTACGTCCGGTGAAGTCTCGCGGCCGCGGCTCCGACTTATTTCCCAAGAGAGGAGGCAGTGGGCTTTTATGTCGATGATCGCTCGCGGACGCCGTATCATTACTCTTCATACGGGACCCCGGCGACGTCCGACAGCGAAAGCTCCGTTACGGAGTAACGTCTATCCCGCTTAACTCGCGAGATCGACGAGCCTATATCTCGTGCCTCGTACAGATTCGAGCCTAACAATAACATTCGTAACTGTCCATTGTCGTAGCGGCGAATGAATCAAACGCAGTGAAATAGGAGTAAACGCGGTAATTCTTAAGACGACAGTGTTATGGGATATCATTATAACTTCCCGAGTAACATTTTCAATAAATAAACGTTAACAATTCACGAGGTTTTCGCAAATTAAAATATTCGGTTCTTATAAAAATATGTCACATATATATTTATAATAAATATACTTTTATTTTTAATATTTCAAAATATTTTGAACGTGTCTTGTGTATATAATAATCAATGCAGAATTTTCACAATCTTTTAATCTTCTGTCAAATAATTAATTAAGAAACGGGAACTACTGTTTTTGTGCATGTCACACGTGGAAGATTATGCATACTGAGATTAATAGTAACAAATGTCATGACGTTTAATATGAAAGTACGAGCCAGGTTGATTCAGTATATACGTGCCAGAGTATACGCCGTTTCGCAGGCTCGAATCACAGGAATCTCGCGTTGCCTTGTCGCGCGTTGCGTGTACGTTCGCATGACAGATACTCCGAAATGCGCTTCCGCCGGGCGTGGGCGACGGTGTAATCCTACCGCGTAGTCGCGCTTTTCAGCTAGACGATAAGGCCAGCTAGGCTGTACAGTTAGGCGTGACGCAATTGCAACGGCAGTCGGCAACTCGGGTTGGGGCCCAATTACCATCTTCTTCCGGTTTGTAGCGTATATACCGTCGTGTCCGTAGCGTTATTCGCGGATTACCGACGCGCGCGAAAAATCGGGAAATTATATTCGACGGTTGATGCGTGGAAGCGAGACGGGGATGGTCACTCCTCGCCTCCGCGCGCCGGCCTAATCCGCGACAATCGCATAAATACGGCGTAAGCGGAACAGGAATCTCGTAACGCCCTGGTGACTATCCGTACGCTTCGCGCACGGTGGTCATCCTGATTAATGTCTCACGAGTCTTATCTCTTTTCGGAGTAACGGGGATGATGTTTGAAATGTGATCGTTTACGGTCGCGCGATCGCCTAGATATATCATCGTTTTATTTTTCTATATTCGCGCGTATAATGTTAAGACTTGGAAAATCCCGGAAATACAGTGCTCGAGGAACGAACGGGTCGAGTTTATGAGCCATGTATTCAGATTTTTCTCCTTCTCTACATATTGACTTATCTCGTGATAAATGAATATACATACATAACTCAATTGAAAAATAGTAATATTTAACAGGAAAATAAATAGATAAATTGCTTGTTCAGATCAATTTGTGATTCCATTACTAAACAAAATTCAATTTGCAATTTTTTGGAAATAAATAATTGTATAATTTTATTATTGCTGAAACTATGTTTTTAGAAGCTTCTTTTTCAAATACCGGAAAATTGCAGAAAATATCTAGTCTTCTCTGTTTTACGCGTACATAATCCTGTTTTTTTTTCTCTCGTTAATGATTAACCGTTGCATCTTCTCGTACGAAAACTTCCGGTATACTGTTTTTTCCAATCGATAATGATGCATTGACCTCTCTTAACGCCCGATTCATTGGCCGAGAGAGTCAAGATGCCAAAATCAATCAATCACCAGCCATCATCGTCGACGTAACTCCGTGCTCGGCCGATGCTTTAAACGTGAGTTAGTTAACCCCGCGCGTGTATCGAGGCGGTTCCGGACCGCGTAGATGAGAAAAGAGAAAAAAAAGTTTCCTACCTGATTGATGTCGCTGCCCAAATCCCGCGCGCTCTTGGCGCTCCTCAGCTGATATCCGCGATACTCTCGATACCTCATGGTCACCTCATCGTCGGTCAAGGCGCCGCTGCTGCCGCTCCTCGTGCTCTTCTTGCTCTTCTCCTCCTTCGCCTTCTTCTCCTTCTTGCTGAACAGCTGCTTGACTTTGCTCATGGTGCCGCTCTTCTTCGCCGCCTTCTTTTCGTACTTCTTATCGGCGGCGCCGGAAGGCGGTTTCGCGGTGACTAACGGCGGCTTTGACGACGAGTCGCTCGCGTACTTGTCGTACTTGCGTTGCTCGGACGTCGGCGTCAGGTTCATGTTGCGATCGGTGTGCCGTCGTTCGTGCTTGATGAACTGCCGGCTGACGAAACCCTCGTCCTCGGATTCGAGCTGCTCGCGCCTGTCCGCTTCCTGGGAGTCCCTTCTGTAATCGTTCTCGATCCCGGAATCGGCCAGCCGATCCTTTCGATCCGGATCGCTCAGCCTGGTTTCGCGATGACGACGTTCGGTGTGCCCTCGCACCTCTTGTCTCGCGTGCCTCGACTTGCCCTCGTGATAGGTCCTAGGTGGTCTGGTCGGGGTCTCGGTGAACGTCTCCAGGCGACTGACCGAGGATACCTTTCCTCGCGGACTGTCGGAATCGTCGAAGTAGTCCAGCCGATTGCGTGATCGCCTCAACGGTTTCTTCGGATCGTCGTCCAGCTTGCGGTGCTCCTTCCTCAGGTTGCGGGTATCGTCGTAGCGAGTTTCGCAACGTAACGAGTCCCTGGCGGTGGTGTCCGAGTCGTATCGGCTGGAATTGTAACCGCCGCGATCGGTGCGTATCCGTGGCGGCGAGCTGTCGTAGTCGTCGTGGATCGGATGTTTGTTACCGCTCGTGTACCTCTGCGTGGTACGCGTCTCCTTGTAGTACTTGGACTCCAGCTGACTGCTGGTCATCTGCGAGATATCGGTGTCGTAGTCGTCGTTCGGGCCCTCGCGCAGACTGTCCAGATGACGCTTCGTGAACGGCGATCTCTCCCCGCGCCCGTTCGTCGTCGGACTATTCAGCAACGGGCGTCTCATGTCTCGCGCATTAACGTAACCCGCGTGACTGCTTAGATTCTCGTGCGATCTCGTCGTGTACTCGCTCCTGAGCGCTCGCACTCTGGCGTTCTCCCCGACCTCGTCCAGTCGCTGGGTCGACTTACTTATCCCGCGAATCGACTCGAAGGGCTTCTTCGTTTTCGGCAGATACGCGTCTCGGTTGATCGGCCGGCTGTCGCGATCCAGGAAATCGTCGCTCTTTGAGAACTTGCGCTCGTTCAATTTCTTGGCGATGATCGGCGACGACAGCTCGTCGTTCTCCCGTGACTCGCTGCGGAAGTGATTCACCGTCGCGGAGGTCCCCTCGGACAGATAACGTGGGGGCTTGTAGGGGCTGCCGCCGTTTCTGACGGTCTGAATTCTCTCCTCGGGGCTGCTTCGACTTCGGTCGCTGAGGAACGGCTTGAAATTGTCGGTGTAACCCTCGTGCTTTCGCGTCTCCACGATGTATTTATCGCCGTATTTGTCCGTTCTGGTTTCCACGGTATAGCCCTCCCTCGGTTTCGCGTCCAGGTAGCCGTTCGTCGGGACTTTGTTGGTGATCTTCTTCTCGTAGCCGTATACCTTGCCGTTATCCTCGTGTATTTCCTTCTCGAAAATGTACTTCTCGCCGTTGCTGTTGGTGCGCGTCTCCGTGATGTAAGTGTCCATGTATCGTTTCGGCGACGCGATCCGATTCGGCGTGACCGGCGACGGTACTATCGGCTTGTCAATTATCTCGTGCTCGCTCGACTTCTTCACCGGCACGTTTGCACTGTTCTTGGCGGCGAACATCTCGTCGGCCAGCAGCCTGGACTTGATCCTGGACTCCAGCAGATCTCGTCGAGCGCTCAACTCGGACGTTTTAGGCGAGATCCCGCTCTCGTTCTGTCTCGAGGACAGCTCGCCGCTGTCCCTTCGTCTGGCGTCCATGCCGTCGGCCCTACCCCGACCGGAAGTATCCACGAACACGGTCGAGGTATATTTTTCGGGTTTGTCGTAGAGACGCCTGTCGATCTCGTCGAACTCGTGACGCCTCGTCGTCTCGGTGGTCCTGGAGATGAAGTCCTTCGAGCCCAAGTGTTTGCCGAAGGGACTGCTGGTCTTGCGGTCCTCCTCATATCTCGACTTGAAGGTGTTGATCTCATTGTTGCGACACAGATCACTGCTGTACGAGTAATCGGTTCTGCGGTACTCCTTCTCCGCGGGACTGTTCTCGCGGGAGGAATCCTTCCTCTCGAGGCCGAGGCCTTCGTCGCTGTCGGAGTGGCTCCGCTGTGCCTTCTTCTTGTCCGGCTGCACCTGCGCGTAAATTACGTTGGTCTGCGCCGGCGGCGGCGGGCTACAGGATTCGTTTGGTCTGGTGTAGGAGAACGGCCGGTTGTTGTTGTGACCGAAACCCGGTGACGGCGATACCATCGTCCTGGTCAACTGCGGCGGCGGCGAGCGGTCGTTCGACAGTCGATGGATCATCTTGTGAATGGTGGATTCTTCGTTGCGTTTTTGAAGATCGTAACGGCTACTGTGTAGCATGCTATATGTGCCCGCTTCGTCGACCTCGTCTCCCCCGCGTTTCGATTCTTTCGGGGGCGAGGGGGTACGGCTGCTTCCCGTGGGCTTTCGATCGGTCTCCCTCTTCCCTTCGACGTCTCTACCCTCGACGAATATGTGATGCTCGATCACTCTAGCCTCTCGGCTGGGCGATCTATCGGCAGGCTCGTCGGTGCGCGCTTCGATCGTCTCTTTCGACTCGACGTCTCGCGATATCACCTCGTCGACATCGATAGCCGGGCTCGTTCGCTCCTCTTTCTTAGGCTTTTTCGGCTTCGGTCGATTATTGTTTTCGCGATCCGCGCTCCCAAAGTGGAACGGCTGTTGATCGACGTGCGGCGACGACTCGATTATCGGCGACAACTGCTTCTTCGCTCGCTGGCTGACGGTACTCAGGTGCGAGCCCTCGCTCTCGCTGCCGCTCCGTTTGCGCTGCGCACCGCTGCGCGTCGAGGAACCCGCGTCGCTCGCGCTTCGGCCGACTGGCTTCCGGCGCCTCTCCAATTTCGGCGAGAAGAATCGCGCGAGCGAGCCCTTCAGCTTCTTCGCGCTGGCATCGCTGGCGCTCCTCTCCAGTGGCTTTTTCTTGGCGCGCGGTGTGTCGAGGTCCGCGCTCGCGGTCGTAGCGCCGATCTCCTCGCTGCCACGGCGAGGTCTCACATCGATCGGCAAATCGGGGCGTTTCTTGTTGCGACGCGCCGGCAGGGTGCTGAAGCGACCGGGAAGACGTCGATTGTCCTGTGCCACGGAGTGAAGGCTGCCCGCTTGCTGCAGGACTAGGGCCGCCTCCTGTGCGAGATCTTCCTTGCTTTTCGCGGCGATGTTCTCCCTGCGGACCGGGGTGGCGATCAACCTACCTTCTCCATCGCTCACGAGAGCCGCGGTTACGCGCGGTGAACCACGTCCTGTAATTATAGGAGCGTGCTAGTTTAGTCGCGCTTGATTTCGTCATGTGTGATAATTACTTGAACAATACTGTATAAAAATAGTTGACCAATTGTAATAAAGTGCATTGTATGTACTTTATTGGGAGAACAAAAATGTTCAAGAAACAAAAACAAATTATTTTGAAACGAGTTAAATTGAAGTATTTCCAGCAAATATATATATATTAATCTCTTTATATATTCCGTAAATGAAAAAGAAAAAAAAAATCGTGCTAAGATAATTAAATTCGATAATAGTATTTCTAACAGTTTCTGGATAGAAGATAAATTAGTTTCTTTTGAATTTCTTTTGATTTTGTATATCGATAAAAAAATAGAAATAAATTATATAATCAATTAGGGAAAAACGCCATTTTACGGTTAAGACTGGATCTTGGTAAACCAATAATGTTATTCGTTTGAATTTTATGTACATTTCTTCACCTTAGCAAACGTGCCGTTACTTACGGTTTTGAAACGTATAAATCTCTAACTAAATGTAGAATAGTACATTCACATTTAAAATGATAATCAATTTAACGATATTAACACATTTTAGAATACACGATATGAAAAATACGGGATATATAGGATAGGATACAGAATTTAAAAAATATGTTGCAAAAAATAAGAAACAAGATGGCAAGATAATAAATGATATGAAAAAAACCAACCGAACCGAAGGAACCAAAAATTGGTTGCTTCGTAAATTGGTAGCAGATCCTAATAGTAAATATGTTAAACAGTGACAATTTTTATGTTTCTGCCAGCTATCGTATATATGAATAATAATTGGACGTAGGAATTGCTGAATTTTTCGTTCTGAAATGAAGACATTCTAAAGTGCCATTTAGGTCTCAAATTGACGGCTGATAAATTTGATCGACTAAAGAATTTATGTTACGACCTTGCCCGGCATAACGGTGTTTGTAAATTAGCGATTTATGTTAAGTGGACGAGCGCATGGTCGTTAGTGGTTAATCACCAAGTTTAATCAAGCCAGTGCTGCGGTGCACGCAGTACATAGTAGACATAGTAGACACGGTTGGCTCGCTAGAAGCTGAAAGCTAGAATCCGACGCGTAAGAAATTGCCGTCTTTCTGTCTCATCTGCCGAGCGTTATACTTGAGCTAAATCGGGACCGCCATTAATCCGTCGCCGTCGTCTGATTCGCGATCGATATAATGCTTGTAATTAACGCTGTCATATTTATAAATAGGTCGCTTAATCAATAGCTCGTTAACGACCGTATCGACTTCTCCGAGATTGTTACGTGCTAATTCCTTTTTTCCTTTTTAAATGACAGTCGTGGATATAATATATGAAGAGCGGAACGACTTTACATATACAATATAGTAATGACTGAACAAAATTGGATGCATATTGAATAAAAAGAAAGTATATTGAGTAGGAGTAATAATGAATATTCATAACTCAGGAAATAAAAAAAAAACGAATGGAATAAATCAAAATCGGTAGAAGAGACGTAAAGAGTTGATATATATTGTAATTAAAAATCCGATTTATCAGCTATTAACTATATACGTCACAAAAATCGATCTCGCGAAATATAAGTATATGTTCACTTGTGTGTTTTCTGTATCCTCCAATTAAACTTTCTGATTTAAAGTTTCGATAGAATAAAGCTCCTTGGTATGATGTTAATTTAACAGTAAAATGTCTTTTATCGAGTTAAATCAAGAGTGAAGAATCTTAATTGAGTTACACTCTCAAAACTGAATACGTTGGATAACACTCTCTGACGCTAATTAGGTATCTCCCACGAAATTTTCACCACCGATAAAATCAACCTACACACATGACTTGCGCGATCTGTCATTTTTATTCGCGAACGGTTTATCTTACATAAGGAGAAAGTAGCGACCGTGGACGTCTTCCCACAGGCGAACAGGCTCGGATCTCGTCGCGCCTCGCACGATAGGTGCTAATCGATGCTGGGCGGACGAAAATTGATTCATTATCGACCCTGTCGCGCGCGTTGTCGAATGCACGGAGTGCATTAATTTCTCAGTTGCGAATATATCTAACAAATCATTCCGCCGCCTACGTTCATTATGCTCGCGTCCGTTCATTCGTACCGGTGAAATAATCAACTCCGATGTGCATCGTGAGAAGTTAATAAAGTGAACGAAAAGGGTTCTTTGACATGTAAAGTTATAATATGCCTAAACGTAATTGCAGATAAGTGTGATATTAATTAGTTATAATAACTGTAAATACAGCCAAATATTTTAGTCCATTTCTTCAATGATTAAAAAAGGAATGAATTCGAGATGAATTAAAACATTCAGCAACTTTTTTCTTATACATTTATTATAACTAATATTACGCATCTATTGCGTATACGCAGCTTCTAATTTATATTTTTCTTATCATTATAGAGAAAGTTAACTATCTCGATTCTGCAAATAAATCTAAGAATGTATGCGAATTAATTACAATTAGGAAAACATTCGCGTTTTGCAAGGAACAGATGCTACTCGGACGATATGCTCGCGGCGTTGGAATCGTTGACGGATTTATGGCAGCATTGTCGCGATTTTAGTACCCGGACAGACACCTGGATAGCGGGTGAAACCTCGCGAGGCATCTCGTCGAGGTCATCGACGAGAACCTCGAGAATGAGGTCGCCGCTCGGCGGCGTTTAGCGTCGCTCGCCTACCGAAGTCGAGTCTCTCCGTGCCGCTTCTTCTGGAACTCCGCGAAGAATACCGCGCTATTTCCAGAAAGTCGCGTTTCTCTCGCCTTTCCTTGGTGGGAACTCGTCATCGACCGTCGTCGTTGCCGTCGTGTCAAACGCCGCCTCGAAAGCACTTTTACAACCTCGTTCGCTCGGTTTCCATAAACGTGCAATTAGCAGCTTCTCGCGAACCTTTGTCTTTTAAACGTTCGCCTCTCGTCTAACGGATCCCTTAAAACGTTTAGCTGAGTTATGCCGCGCTCTTTCGGGGAAACGACATTTCCTCATTTCGACGGAGGGAGAGACTTGGAACGCGATTTCCTCGCGGCTATATTTCCGGTCGATCGTGCGTCCCTTCCGCGTCGTCGCGCGCCTCCGAACGCCGTAAATCGTAAACTAAGACGACAAACTTCGCATCGTTTACGCGATTCAATGGCACAAACTACGCACGGCTGTCATACGCGGGAATGTAATCTCCTGAGATATCGTTGGATTTAATTGCGCGCAGGCACGAGTGGAGCGACGTCGTGCGGGATTACACGCGAGAGACTCGGGCGAAGGACGCATTTCCAGCTCGCTAGGTTTCCGTCGTGTAGAATCGTGCACGCGGCATAAGCGGACGTCTCTTCCGTAGATCGTGAGATTAATAAGGCAAGCGCGGCTCACGCTAATACCGGCGTGGAATGCGCGCCGCGAATCGGGAATACGGGTTAAAAACGATCGGAAGCGTGACGGTTCGGTGATTCTCCGATCTCGACGGAGGACCCGATTCGATCTTGCTTTCCTGAATACTAATTATTGCCGGGGTACGCGCGAGGGAGAAATACGTCGTGAATGCTTGCAATACAAATGCACGTGCGTTTCTAACGCGGGGCGGAAGAGAAACGGAGAAGAAGGAGAAGAGAGAAGAAAACGCATTAACATGTGACGCACGTATCCCAAGCGAGAATTGATGCGTTTAGAGAGCCGATCGTGAATGCGTACGATTGATTAAACGAATGACGGGCTGCGAAGCAGATAACTGTTCAGCAAGTAGCTTTTAAACTTTTTTCTTTCTTTGTACAATTTATTGACTTAACAGTCTTTAATCCAACACGATTTTAATGCAACGTACCATGTCTGTTCCCATCTGGGATAACTTGAAGAATTGCACCACCACGAACCATTAGAATTTACTCTTCTGTAGTCGAGAGATATTAGTATCAAATTAATTAGAAAGATGAAGATGAATTAATGTTGAGTTCTAAAATTTTTAGAAAGAGGTATCTTCAACGATTTTAAATATATGCTCTTTTATTTTTGTTACGAATAAGAAACAAATAATTTGCTCGTTATAGATTTGCAATATTTCTTTAAATGAGAAACATATTTCACAGAGAAAAAATTAAAGACATTGGATAAAATATATCTGTAAAAATCATAAAAGAGTTTGATGTCCTTCAATCATGACAATGATCCTTCGTTCTCTGTTGCAATGAATTCAAGTACCAACATGGACATCTCTATAGTATTCAAATTGATTCAATTATATATCCGCAATTTGTCGTAATATCAACTTATTATCCACGATTATTTATGTTTCCTTCCATGGTCGTCTAGGATACGCTTGTGTCCAGGAAAGTAAGTCTAGATTGGCGAGCAAAACACTCAAAGTGGTTAATGTCACCTGTGCAGCACCATGAGTGACTGTTAACGAGATGTAATCATTGTGCTCGGCAAACTGATTGATATTCAGGCGCGTCGTAAAGTCGATTTAATTATCACGACATTAGCGTCGGGACCTCGCGCTACGGACACGTTACACGTACGTTCGATGAATCCCTGATGAATAACGTAGCGAACATGTATGCGCATCACCTTGCACGAGACGTATTATTACGTCGGGATCGCGATGCCAGTTATCACATTCGTATTTATGAGCGCGAGTATTCTGACCATCGGATTACCAAATCGGGGGATCTTGGCTTTTCGAATTTTCAAATTTTCAAGATGTGACCGAATCCATGGATTATCTGATTCTTAATGTTCTTATTTTTTAAATATGACCAGAGTTTCTTCTTCCTCTTTTCAGTAAACTATATATATATTTTTTCATGCAGATATGAGCCAAAACACTAATCAATAAACCATATGTTAATTATGCCATTCCTTCACGAGGAAAGAAAAACCGCACTTGAGAAAGTCTCCTGGCATTTTTCCTATCTGATTTAATAAGTAATTCAAAATGAATTATTCATGCCGCCAATTCGCGAACTTTTTCTGCCGGAAGGAATTTATT